TGAAGAGCGAACATAATACTCCCAACGAAGGCACTTAAATAGTATGCGTTAGCTGACAAGGGAGTATGTATGTTCTCAAGGACATTACTTCCCCCGCTTCGGATGGCTGTCGGTTTGCATCGCAAAGATTTGCAACTAACTAACACAGTGCGACAGTCATCATCTTCCTCAGTTGAGGGCGGGAGAAAGTGGTGCATCGAAGGTTATCCCCCGAGGAGGGTGTTTGCTACCTGCAAAGTCTTTGTACACAGAGTTCTCGGTTGTCAGGGAGAATCTCTGTGTCGAAAGCTGCTGACATGTTATAGAAAAAGATGAAAATCCTGCAGGGAGCTATGGCACTACTACCGTAGCCCCTTCGCTGAAGAGAGTGTTCTTCCCCTTTTCATGTCAGCTGCAAGTAGGTGAGTGGAACAGTCGAGCTCTGTCATGCATTATCCCCCCAAGCGAAGTTCACTAATGGAATGGCAAAAGGTTATCGGGTCTGTGACATTGCTGACAGTGCTATTGTGGTACATCTACATGTGTTTATCCCCCGAGCCTTTGAGGACGAAGCAAGTGTACAGCAGTACTGAAACCCCTAAAGGAGTAACATGCGTCAATCAACATTCTGAATGGCTCCGGGGCAAGGGCTACTCGTGTGTGTTTCTCCCGAGCTGTTGTGAGGATGAAGCAAGTGCACAGCGTTATGAGCCCCTAAAGGAGTAACATGTGTCAAGCGAGGTTTCTTTACGGCTCTGGGATTAGGACTAAGTGTAACGGCAGCAAGCTGATCTTTTATCCCCCGAGCCAGTTTGAGGACGAAGCAAATGTACAGCAGTGCTGAACCCCTAAAGGAGTAACATGCGTCAAGCAATATTCTGAATGGCTCCGGGGCGAGGACTACTCGTGTGTGTTTCCCCCGAGCCGTTGTGAGGATGAAGCAAGTGCACAGCGTTACTGAGCCCCTAAAGGAGTATCATGTGTCAAGCAAGGCTTCTTTACGGCTCCGGGGTCAGGACTAAGTGAAGCGGCGGCAAGCTGACCCTGTCATATTTCCTTCCCCCCGCGGCACTGAGAGCAACACAGAGGTATAAGGCCGAAACAGCTGCAACCTGAAAAATTTAGAGGGGGTAAGCTTCGGGACGGGAAGGGGTGAGGACAAGGGGGCTTCCCCTATGCTTGCTTTCCCCCGGTCACGAGCAGCTCAGAAGGTGTCGTTGTTGGAGTTCAGTCGTAGAGGAGGGCTGCGTGTTGCCGTCGTCGACGATGACTGGTCACGCTTCCCCCGTCTTCACTGGCAACTTCCACGGTTGGGCTGCGGGGCACTTCCCCGGGAGCGTTACCCAGTCCATGGTGGCGGTCGTGCAGCCAGACATTTCCCCATTGTCAAAAAAATTGAGCCATGTCCAGCGGTGCAGGTGGCGGCACTTCCCCCGCGGTTGGGAACATCAGCTCTTCCACTTCGTCGAGGGCCCGGAGGAGTGCTGCATGCACGGCGTTGAGTTCTTCGGAGCTTCCCCCGGCGAGGTGGCTTCGAAGGTCTTGTAGTTCCAGTATCATCCCCCGCGCTCGTCGCTGCCTTCTTTCACGGGCCAGGTTGGAGGTCAGGATCCCCCGCGTGGCAGCCATGACGTCTGCCGGGTGTGCCACCGCTTCGCCTTTTCGGACTGCGTCCAGGAACATGACCGTTTCGGCCAGTTGGGTCCAGTGTTCTGGACGGTCTGCCGTTTGGATGCCTTTGAGTGCCAGGCCGAGGTTTCGGACTGCTCGTCCGATGGCCTCCCCCGGCGGTAGCATCGCGGCAGGGGCTAAGGAAGACGAGGAGGTCCCCCGAGCTTGTGCTACCATGTCATTCAACCAGGTGATGATCATGTCCACGTCATGCTGGATGTCGTAGTACGATATATATAATATATATTGGTGCGATTCCTCGGCAGAGGCCAACCTTCGTTGAGCTTTGGCAAGTAGTCTTTGGAGGGCTTGTGCGGCTGGATCTGAGTTGTCTGTGTTGGTTTTCTGCCGCTTCACAGGCTTTTCCCCCGCTGTGGTTGTGCTGGCTGTGGCTTGTTGTTCGATCTCGAGGTGTGAAAGTAGTTGTTGCTCTGTTTGGCTGTCTACAAGGAGGTCGCTCAGGGCACACTGTGCAAGGGTAGCGATGGTGCTTCCCCCGGGCAATTGGGCTGCCGCTTGGTATATGCGGAGGAGTGTTGTCTCCACCCGGTCTGTAATGCTCGTTTGGGGTGGACGGTGGTGTGGCTCAGGTGGTGGTTCCTCGGTGGAGATGGCGGGTTGGGTTGGAGCCGGGTCCGTGGTTCGGGGGTCTGCTGGGGCGCTCTGTTGTTGGAGGGGGTTGGGTGGTGACGTTTGCACGAGGCTGTTGTGGTCCTCGTGTGGCTCGCCATGGGTTTCTTCTTGACTTGCTGTGGTCGTTGTGTGTGTTGTCGTCTGCTGCCTGTGGCTGGCGAGGGCCGTGGTGGTGCTGGTTGTGGTTGGCCTTTGTGGTGGTGTTGGCGGCGTGCGGGTTCTGCCGATGCGCCGGCCGTCTCGGACCTGTGCGAAGGGGTCTGGCACTGTGTGATTGGGGGCGGCCGGGGTGCTCTCTCTCGCTCTCTCTCTCGCTCTTATTCATTTCTTTCATCTTGCTTGCTTGCTCTCTCGCGTGAAAAACAGGCAACTGCGACTCTCGCTTTCTCTGTCTGCCTCTCGCAGGGGCAGGGGCTTGAGGAGTGTGTCCTCGGGCCACAGGCCCACCCGTAGTCTCTGCGGGACTTCGGGGAGTAAGACGTGAGAAGATCGAGGGAGTGAAGGATCAGGACAATTAGCAAATATCCCCCATATATTCTCCACAGAATCTCCTGAAAGATCAGGCTCTGCAACACACCTTGATGGAACGTCATGACCCACCCGAAAGGCGGATCCAAAGCAAAGCAAAACCTGAAGAAACATGAATGACGTTCCCCAGATGAAAGGGCGCTCTCTGTCCATGCTACACCACGCCAGATCAAGGCTGCACTGCTTGGCATTTGACCAGGCTTCAGTTGCTTCTCAAGGTGTCTTGTTCCCCGAGGCCCTAGCTGGCCCTAAATATCAAGACTCTCTTCTTCCACTCAGCCAAAGGAGAGGTCTGACCCTCCCCTAAATATCAAAAGTCTCTCTCTCTCCCTCCCTCCCTCCCTCCCTCCCTCCCTCCCGCCTGAGGGGATGAGGAGGGCAACAACCAGGACGACAATCGCCAGGAGCCCGAGCTCGCGAGCGGAGTTCTTGGAGAAGAGCTGGAAAGCCTCTGAGCCAGAATCATAACTAATAACGATTAGTAATTATACTAAAATTTAAAAATGAATAAACATTAATAGTAATGATACCAGTAGTTCTGAAGGACAAGGACTCGAAGATCTGGTGAGCCGCGGCTGAAGGAAACTTGGTAAATCTTAAGCTGATGACACTTAAGGCTTAAGGTACCATTCGTCATGGCGTGCGTGGCATGCCATGTGCAGAAAGCTAGAGAACTTGTCATGCGCGTAGCCTGCATTGGCGTGGGCAGTGAAAGTTAAACTTCCGTCCTTTATGATGCGAAGAGACGAATCCGCACCCTTGAGTGTTCAGGCCTTTCGGAGCTGCAAGGCAAAAAACAGCACCAGTGGCCCAAGCTGCTCTGCAGAGCGAAGTGGAGCCCAAGACACCACCGGCACCTGCAGCACACGGGCGGATCGGGTGGGTGGGGAGCCACCAGAATTTCCCGTGCGGAGCCCAAGCGAAATGCCTGGATGGCCAGCGCCGTCCCCACAGTGAAAAAGAGGGTGTAAGCCTTCCGAGCCGCTCGACATCCAAGCATCCAAGATCATGGGGGCCCAGCAAAAGGGCATCTGGGGACCCCACGGCATAGAGCTGACCTTCCGAGCCCAGCAGCATCAAGAGACCTGCGTGCAGGCCGACCATGTTCCTGGAGGCGGGCACCAGGGCACACCGAATCCAAGAACGCACTGACACACCGTCGCTGTCACTTGAGCATCCACTTGAGCCGAAGGGCAGTACGAGGATGTACCCGCCCCAGGATGCTGCCATGCAGGCGTAGGCGAGCCTAAGCGCCATGACATGGAGCCATGACGTGACATGGTGCTGTGGAGAAGGGAGCGAAGGAACTGACGACGACCCTCTCGGGCACGTGCCCTGCCATGGCCGCGATGGGCCAGGAGCTCTTTGACCGGAGAGCTCTGCACCAGAAGAAGAAGGTTGCACACATCGCGGGCACTGCCATGGACTCGTTGTCAAAACCTCAGCAACAACAGCGACAGCGATAGCGACAGCGATTCTCCAAAGGCGCTTTTTGTTGGCCCGGCCCGGCCTCCTCCGACTGACCTCGAGAGATGAGCGGGAAGGACGGCCATGACCAGGCTCGAAACCACCGCCGCGGCGCCGGCGCCCGCGCCGCCCTGGCCCCCAAGGCCCCCAAGGCACTCGGAGGCCAGAAGCCCAGAGAAGATGCTCGACACGGCCCCCAACCTCCGACGGCACAAACACCAAAAGGCCAAAGATGCCCCCGGATTCCATCCATTTCTACTTATGCTGTGGACAGGCAGCCATGCCGGCATGTAGCAGCAAACCAGGTTGAGAGTCCAGGAAGGTTCCCACTGTCGCAGCATCTGCCACAAGGCGACGGCTGTTATCTGCATGCCGGGATAGATCGTCCTACAGCGTCAAGACACATGCCGAGCTGCTGAGACATTGTAGGCATTGTAGACACTTCAGACAGGGCTCGTTGCCACGGGGCGGCCCAGTGGATACCAAGACTGGTGGTCGAACCACATGAAGAACCTGTAAGCATCATGACTGTTACGAGAGCATGAGGCTGACAAGCTGTGATCGCGGCACACATGCAACTCAAACCCCAAACTCACGGCAGGGCCGAGCCACTTCTTCCAGCCGTGAGTTGCCAAGTATTCCGCCGCGCGGTAGTTGAACCAAGGGTCGAATTCATGAATTACCGGGCCATACTCCTACGCAACGGTCTCACGGTCTCACAGTGAACCAAGAGTACTGTAGGATAGCCCGCTCATAGCTCTCATGGCCTGGATGGCGTAGAGCCGGATCCCGTAAGCGCGGCGGGCCGCCTCGCCCAGCAGCAGGACAACGGAAAGCCAGCCCAGGCTTCGCACGAAGCGAAGGCCAAGCTCCTGCTCAAGAGATCAGCCGTCCGCAAGCAGAACGAGGGATCATGGTCAGAGCCGGAGTGCTCCCAGGCTGGGCATTTTCGCCAGTGAATGCCGTGCACCAGGGTAGGTGGATCGCGCAGAGCGCTTCAGCCATGAACACCAAGGACCGAAGATGCTTTCTGCAGTCTAGAAGTCGAGAAGAGGCAGTGCTGCAGGGGTATTGGGCAACAACAGGCCCGGATGCTGCACACACACACACACAACACTCTATATGCTTATTATAATATAAATATGTACACATGCATCTATTTGCTTAGCTATTTATGTTTGTTTGCACACATACGAACAGGGCTGTGCGTATATATCTATGTACTTGTATACATATAATGCGTGCTTTACATATATGGTATATGATATATACATATATATATATATATAGATAGATAGATAGATAGATAGATAGATAGATTGATTGATTGATTGACTGATTGAATGTCTATTATATCTGCTATTCGGTGAGCTTCGTTCACAGAAATACTGAAATACATGTGCACCTAATTATTTTTGAGCAAACGGCTTGGTCGCCCCTGGTCCGCAACGTAACAAGGGGACAACTTGCAATGCAACAAACACCCCCGGGGTCGGCTGGCCAAGAACTGCCGCACCGGTGGATCGGCGTAGTGCCTGGCGAAGACGGAGCGCTACATGGGACATGGCCCTGCAGGCACGGTACTCAATACGCTGTACGTCGAAGACCGCCTCAAGAACCGCAACCAAGACGAAGAGCATGAGGCGGCCGAATGTTGCAACGATGGTGGCGGGACCTTTCTGGACAAGGTCGTTGAAAGAGTTGCACCTGCATGTGTTTGAGTTGCTCGGCCTCGCGAATCTTACTGAAGGTGCCTGTCGCCCATTCCTTTACAGCTGCCGTGGCTGTGAAGCTGTGGCACCGAGGTCACCGAAGCGATACACGTCTTGCACAGCTTCCTACGAGTACTGCAGTGTAGTGAACCCTTTCCCCCCTGTCCTTCAGGCGGCTGTCCTTGCTACTTTTGGCCACCAAGGATGCGAAGAGGTCTATGGACACCTTCGCTCGATACACTGCTTGCCAAAAGACTCATCCAGGGTACTCTGTCGTTTGTCTTCGTGCAGCGCGACAACATCGAAGGTTAACAGCACACAACTCAACCAAATTGACTCAAACAGATCCCGGCCCCTTCAGCTCACTTCTTGCATTGCGCCAGGGCAGACTGTCACCAGAAAACGCGAGGCTGAGCTCTTCCGGAAGGAAGCCGCGCGCCTGACCCCTCATCAAAGGATTAGGCAGCTCGGAGGTGCCTGTGGAGATCTGGAAGATCTAGTACAAGGTGACGCCAGCCGAGAAAGAGTTGCTGGTGAGAGCACCTGCGGCCTTGAAAGAGTTGGCGCTCAGGGAGTTGAACACCTGAAGCCCGAGCTGCCGTGTCCAACATGCGAGGTCCCAGAGAGGCCCTTGCCTGCGCCACCTCCTTGTTGGAGAGGCCCAGGCGCAATAAGCGCAGACCTCGGCCATCCGCAGCTGGCTGCCGAACAGGGACAAGCAGCTCGTGCTATGGGCTGGGCTTTGCATGAATTCCGTGTCGGATAGAGCACCCGAATTGCTGGAGTCGAGCTCCGCAAGGGCCTCCCCAGTGGGCTTCTCTCCGAGCTTGAGAGTGAAAGGCTGGCTCTGCAAAGATCATGCCTGCCCGATGGTTGTCCCGTTGGATGCCAGCCGGGACTGCGTCACCACGGCAGCGAAAGCACAACGGGCGCTCTGTGCGTGCTACTGCTTTAAGCCTAACCGTTGAGCCAGCCTCGATCCTGAACATGATGGCGTTGAACTCTTCCGGGGACAAAGCGTAGTGGAAGTCCCGACTGACACAGGGCATCTGAAGACTCTGAGACTGCTCGGAGCGACTCTGGTTTGGCGATCCCTTCAACCACAAGCGGGATTACATCATGGAGCTCAAGAAAAATGAGACTTCGGAATCGGCTTCCTATTCTGTGCCTTGTTGCCAAGAAGCGCACGACCATTGTGCGGAAGCTCTGGTAGGACACCCTGCCCGATCCTGACCACATCACCGCATCACCAGCCTCGGTCTTGGAGCCGCGCTGGCCTTCGTGATCCAAGTATTGCACCAGCTGGTGGATTTCATTTTCTTGAAGCACCTGAGCTTGGGCTGATACATGAGCTGTGCTCGTGCCAGCAAAAGAGGCTCCAGCTTGCAAGTGGCCGATCTCCACCTGGGCCAAGGCCAAAACAGACAAGTCGAAAAGCAGAGCGAAAGCCGCAGATGCACTCTGCACCGTCGCCTGCATTCGCGTTGTCGACACAGTCCAGTCCTGCGCTCGTAAGGCGCGACTGGTGCAGCGGCGTGCAGACAAGCTTGGTGGTCTGCCCTGAGCGCTTTGATCACTTTTTGTGCGGGGAGAATCGGAAAATCGGAAGCTAATTAGGCCCGAATAAGGCCCATATAGGCCTTTTCTGGCCCTGGGACCCTATGGGGCACTAGCTGAGGCCTTCTCTTGCCTCAGCCTCGGAGCGCCTGTGGTCTCCTTCTCCTTCCCATGCGACTCCTCACAGAGCGCAGAGACGGCCGAAGGAGGCGGAACTGAAGAGGAGAGGAGACAGCGAGATACCATGGTAGTACTTGTACCGGACTGGACTTGGCCGGGAGCAGGCCTTCATCATTCGCAAAGCCTCCAACTTTGCAGGCACATCGCCCACCTCTGACTGGCAAGGAAAATGCCGCACCGAAGGGTTGACCATGATGCACGGATGCGCCTCCTCTTTCGGCACCGGAGGGGTCCATGCCTGCCAGACGAATTGCCCCCCGCACGAAAAAAGACACCCAATTGTCCCTGACTCTTGGGCTGCGGCGTAACTTGGTGGGGAGCCGAAGAGGGGTGTCACGGAACGGAGCAGCGTTGTACCTGAAAGATTGTTGGGAAAAACATGAGCTTCCCAAACACGTGGCTCTCGAATGCTCCATGCGCGCCGTAGGTCAGCGAAAAGCGTGCAATGCCGCCGACTAGTTTCAGTGCCTGGGCTGCTGAATCGGACGTGGCAAGCTGCGAAGAGTTCGAGTTTCCAGCCGGTCGCACCCACTTGGGCTCTTGCCACTGGCAAGGGGATCTTAGTGACAAGTTGAAGACCGAACCTGATGCCCAAGGACAGCTTGTGCCGAGACTCGTCCGTCCTTCAAGCTCGGTGGCAGGCAATAGGCGGGGCAGCCAAGACCTGACAATGCAAGCAATCTGTACGAATCCTGAAGTCGGGGTAGTGGTCGAGGTCGCAGGTCGTCCGTCGTCTTCTAGAGCTCCGATTTATCTTAAGAGGATGAAGGTGGACCGAGGTGGCATCATGACAGATGACTTCACGAACTCTAGCATCAAGCAACAAACTCCACCTCCGAAACCGCGTCTCTGGGTGGGCAATAGCTGGGCAATAGCTTCAGTCTCAACGAGTGGGAGCTTCGAATACATGGCCTTTCAAAATGCCTTTAACGAGTCCTGAGCTGCAGCAGGTATACGGAAGTGCAAAGTCGGACAAACTCGGATGCGGGCTCGTGGTTCACATTGCCAGGCAAGGATGGCCTCTGAATGGAAGCAACGAGGGTTCTGCTGTTTCTGTGTTGAATTGGTCGAAGTCGACACATCGCAGCAGTCCCCAGAGCGCGCGGCCAGCCGGCAAGAAAGCCCGCCCACAGCTCCTGCCGAGCAGATGCTGAACGAAGAGACCCTGGCAGCCGGGCCGGTAGGCCATGCCAGGCCTCCGGCAAGTTGAAGAAGCCCTGAAACCACCCCCGAAGGCCGGCCACATCCAGTTCCATGAGAAACCTCGGGCCCCAGGCATGATCACTTTACACGAGCCGCTGAAACCACTCACTCAGCCGTGCAACTCACCGCCGAAGACCGCAAAGTCTCGCTGACCCTGGTTCTGCTGGCCTCGATTGCGAGAGTTGGGGAGTCTGGCAGCCTAAGCGGGCCTAACTCCGCGCCCCTCCGAGTTTGACTTGCCTCACCACGTGATGGGGACAAGTTTTGTGCCAGGGGCCCCGGCTCCAGATAGCCTCATACGCCGCCGCAGCCACGGCATCCGGCCTCGAAAAAACAAGAACTATATGGCCGGCCCGGGCGGCGCGTTGACCCTCTGAGCTTCCAGGGTTTATGGGGTTTAGGATGGGTTTATAGGGTGCGAGCTGCGGCAAGTCCATTGAGGACACCGGATTGGGACTCCTGGAGCCCTGGGACATGGCACCAGAAACGTGGGCCTAGGAAGAGCAAAATGCTGCTCTCTCTTCTGAAGCCTACCGGCGGCAGCGATCCAAGAAGATACAAGACGTTTCTGCACTTGGCATGGCTACTCTGTCACTCTGTCCATCTAAACCTGAGCCTCCTGCGGGGAGCCGCTGTTCAACTCTCCGGCGATGGCAGCCGCAACGTCCTTGTGCAGAATCAAAGAGTGCTTCATGAGTGATTGGGACTTCAAGGCTCCTTCGAGGCGGACATCATCCGACAGAGCTGGTAGCCTCCACGTCTTGCACGTGCCAAGCAACAGAGGCCCTTCCCGCAAACGCCAGGCAGGGCCCCGAACCACCCAAGCTGCGCTCTCTTCGCCGTTTTTTCTGGAGCAGTCCAAGTTTAAAAGAGCTTGCATCAGTTTTCTGCCCACAGCCGCAGCACTCGCAAAGAGGATGTGCTTTGACGGCGGAGATGGTGCGACTGTCAGGATTTGAGCCGAGTTTGAGCTCGAATCGTGTGGCTGATCGTTGCAGCCGTGGCTTTGCCATCAGGCCACCAATCAGGTCAGGTGTAGATGTGCCACCGGATCACCCACTCTACCATGGTGCATGGGAACATGATGATGCTGTAGGGGAACTCCAGAGCAAAGCCATTCGTCAGCTGGTAGTAGAAGCCAGCCTGACCAGACCAGAGGCGGCGCTCAAACACGGCAGATTCTGCGAGGTTTATCTCAGCTGAAGGACAGCAGCCAGGGGGAAGCCGACAATCTCATCGATGTAGGAACTCAGAGGCTCGCGGATTTCTTTAGGGAAAGCGACCCCTAGTAGGAGGGCAGAGCTCAGCAAATGAGGCTCCGACTCTTCGGGGTTGAAATCCTTGGGAATGTTGCAGCACTCAGGGAGCCAAGGACCTGCAGCAGGAGAAAAATAAAAACACACAAGGACAGCGCAGGGCCCTCAGCGCAGTTCCGAGCTTCGGGCTCACATACGGCATCACTCCATACATGAACCTGAGATGGAAAGTGTAGAAAGCTGCAGGGGGCCCAGAGGGCCTAGACTCTGAGGCGTTTCTCTTCTCCAGATGGATCCAGGCGGCGCTTCTCCAAACAATCGGCCGCCTCGGAGGCCAGAGTAGAAGGCGCTGATGACGGCCTGCAGAGCTCTCCGCTTCTCGTGCGGAGCAGCACGGTGTGGGCCCGATAGGCGCTTTGTCCCTACGTTGGTTGCATCCAACCTCGCTGACTGCTACAGTATCAGCTGTGTGTCGTGCTCTTCTGTTGATTCTGATGGTCACACGAAGCTTTCAAGCTTTGGACTGCTGGCCTGAATGTAAGAGGCGACCACCACGGCAATCACTTTCACTGTGGTCCCGATGATGGGTGCCACCCAGTGGGTCAAGTCCTCGAGGCAATCTTGGGACCATACCACAGTATATCATATATTATATCATATTCTACTACAGTATAGCAGAGTATGTTTAAGTATATTATGGTACATATATATACATAGATGTTATATATTATATGTATATGTAAAAATATATATATATATATATATATATATATATATGTATATATAAATGTATATATAAATGTATACTCTGGACCGCTACGTAGCGTGGAGGGGCACCGCCTGGCCTTGCCCAGGAGCATGGCGAGCATGGGGCCGAAAAGCTGCACCATGGGCAGCTCCAGCTGATCCGCGATGCCCAAGGCGATAGCCACGGTCTTCGCGAACCTCAGAAGCTTTCGGGGCTTTGTAATTCGGGGCGGACTAGGGGAGTCTGTCTCTGCTCTCTGAGATATCTTGGGTCTCGGCTGCGACTTCAAGGTTGCAATGACCTCATGAAGGGCACATCCGCGAGTGAGGGAGCCCGGCCGGGAACTGCGAGGATCTCACGGACACCCAGGCGGTGAAGAGATACTGCGTGGCCTCTCAGCGGAACGCACATGGAGCAACGTGGAGCACTCTTGCTGAGCACACCTTCATCAGCCGGTCCGGCTTCTCAACAGCCATCATCGCCATTTTGGCCTCGTTCCACGCAGGCAGATGCGGGGGGAGCGCATAGCAATTCCTTGGACCTTGTGGTTGATCAGCTCGTTGTAGCTCATCTGCTGCACGTCCGCGATGCCATCCTCACAGTCCCATGCCGGAGGCACACACCGAGTGGGGGGAGGATGGCATTCCGGGGCTCGCCTTGTTGAGGTCCTTCTTGTCGTCCTCCTCATTGGCCTCAAAAAGAGGAGTTATGAAGGTCGAGAGACATCTATCTCATAGAGAGACGACCGACGAGCCCCACTACCTTCATTAAATGTGTTTTCTAGGGCTCCGAACCGCCTTGACCAGGAGAGCCTGACAGATCTCAAGGGCCACTTCTTTGCATCAATCGCCCCCCCGACTCCTGGCCTGCTCCCAGCAGAGGGACAGCTCCTGGCAGCTTCGATTCGAGTGGCTGAGAGCCACGGCCCAAGACCGCACGATGCACGAAATGCGGCAGGAGAACATCGATCAGGAGTTGGCCGCCAAAGTTGCGGAAGGCTTCAAAGGCTGCGATCGAGGCGAAGTACACGCCTGCACGGTGAACGGAGATCTGGTCAAGATGCAGCGAATTCTGAACGAAGTGGGATTCAGCTTCCAGCACTTCCAAGCGTTACAGACAGCATCGGATCTGTACTCCCCAAGCAACCTTCCAAACCGCATCGAAGGACCCCTGCCTCCTTTCACGACGCATGTCAAACAGAAGCCTTGTTACTCCTGCCGCTGCACAAGCTGAAGCCGTGCCTCCGAAGAAGCAGAGCCCCACTCCGAAGATCATCTCAAGCAAGTGAATAGGCAGGATCTTGTAGACCTGCATGTGTCACAGTCTGCTTCACAAAGTGCAGAAGTGGCCTCCCTGTAACTGTGACGGTTTGGGTGCCGGGGCGGGTATGAACCAGCAACCGAGACGGAGGAAATGCTGGAAACCGCCAGCGACTGTACGCTGCCTGCCTTGTACAGCTGCTGGGCGATGAAAACGTAAATCATCAAGATGATGATCAACGGCTTCATCAGATAGGTCCTGTGGAGCGGCGAGACGTACATCAGACGCAGCACCTGCCC